AAAAAAAAAGTTAAACACATTTGGACAGTGAAGGAATGTCAGGATTCTTGCTCAGAAAAAGGAGCTGATCAACATGCTCTGAAGTCAGTCCAGTCCACAAAAACTTTTTTTGTAACAAAATATCGATTTCTGCTGTCCCTGTATCGATACATTATTAGCAAACAAAATATCACGATACTACACAGTATCGATTTTTTCCCCCACCCCTACTAAATAGAGCAGTGAGGTAGATATTGATACTGAAAAGGGCACTTTGAACAATGCAAAATACAGTGCACCATGATAATTAAGGCATAAGTAGCTGTACAAAGTTAATGAGCGACCTGACCTGCTCATTAAATCACATGCAGTGCAAAAGTCTTATTTATGCCCAGTATATAAAGTCCAGTATATAGGTGACTAAATGATAAATACTGCATACATTAACAATTTCATTTTAATAAAAAATTGTTCAAGACATAATAGGGGTGGTCTAATGTCAAATCTGTACCTACACAGGTTTAGTTTATAACTAAATAACTCACTAATTGACCATTTAGCATTTAGTCAGTTATTTTGCATCAGATTTGTCTGGGAAAAGGAGTGAGTATGATGGAGGAGCTCCATCTGACTGAGACAGGAAGTCTACATTCATCACTGGTGCAGAAGGCAGCATGTTGTACGCAGGAGGTACTGGAGATTGAATAGAAGGAGATGGCTGGCTCTCAAGGGCAGATGGGGGTTGGTGAAATTGTTGGGGTGGTGTTGGGGGTGGTGGCGGGTACAGGACAGAAGATAATGAAGATGAAAATGGAGTTCCATATGGCGAAGGCACCTGTGGCACTGGGTTATTGTAGCTTCCAAACATGTGTGTTGGCTGAGAAGTTTGCACACCCGCTGGTCCACCATATACAACAGGGTTATTTGGGTATATAGGTGGTGGTGGTGCTGAATAGCTTTGGACTCCTGGATATCCATAACTGCCTGAATGTGGAGACATAGATTGAAGGCCCATGGGCATTGTGGGGGGAGGGAAGTCACTGTTGCTTGGACCCCCAATAGCACCTGTTGGATAGGGACCTACATTTATATTACTCAGACAGCCAGGAGCCAAGCCAGGAGGTAAAATGACCACTGGGCACAGAATCTCTGGATCAAAAGCAAAGCTGATGTCCAGATATACCTAGGAGAAAGAAAAATATATGTAAATCTGTCTCATTAGTACATGATGCTTTTATTTTTACACTGGAAAAGCAACAAGAGAACATCTGAACGCCACTTCCTCAATGATATTCATTGCTGTTCACACAGTTAATTACAAATGGCTCTGTCATGCATAAATCATAATATCGGTTCCCACAAAAATTCAAGTTTTGCTTTAGGATACAGTACTACATACCTTTAAACAGTATTCCACTGAGATAATATCACAGTTCTGGATTGTCAGCATGTAATCACTAGGAATCTTTATTTCACATCTGAGCTCCTTCCGTGTTTTTGGTCTAATACAGTTGTCAGCAACTTTATGACAAACTGTATTCTCATGTTTGGTTCTGCCATTGGCATGGTACACGACTTTCTGTATTAAGCTAAATTTCGGTGTCATGTCACTGGATGAAGAATTGTCAACTTTAGCAAGAACCACTATTGTTTCACCTGTAAAAAAAAAAATACAGATTTTAAATACAATTGTCTTTACATTTTTCAGTTGACTAAAGTGCCATTGTCTAATATACACCAGAAAGTCACAACACCTATTACTTAAAGTCAAACTATTGGAAAGGAATTTCTGAAAGTGCAAGGTAGGCAACATCCCTAGATTTCTTATTTCTTAAGAGTACAGGCTTAACTTGCAGTTGTATTAACACTGTGGCAAATAGGTTTCCCTGGATGCCAAATGATCAAGTTGGCCTTTGGGGCAATGGAATGGACAAAATACATTAAATAAAGCAGATAACATATTAATATCTCTTTACTTACAAGATGCCAATAAATTGGATAGTTTCTACATTATGGGAATGAAAAGTTTGTCAACTATGATCTCAATAGTCTTTTTGCATCCTCCATTATTAGCTAATTTATTGAACTCTGCCTATGTTCAACCACACAAAAAAATTTTTTGGTATAATGAGAAAAGAGTATAAAACGAATTGAGACCTACAACATTTGAAAAGAAATTTTAATACCTGCTGCGTAACCGATCCTGTCCACAGTTACATCCATGTGTACGTGTCCTTTTGAGAAAAAACCCATCTTTTTGTTCGTTGAACCAACTTGCGGTGACTACAGTGGAATAAACAAGCAAAACAATTATTCTGACACAATTCCATAATCAAACAATATTTTTCACGGTTCAAAGGTGCTAAAATTTATATTTTACTATATTAATTCATCAGATGATCTAACATTCACGTTGCGATGGATGCCTTGGGGAGCAGCTTGGGGAGCAGCTTGGGGTTAGTATCGTGCCCAAGGTTATTTGGCATGCAGACTAGAGCAGCCAGGAATTAAACCACCAACCTTCTGCTTAGTAAATGACCTGCTCTACCTCCAGAGCTACAACCACCCCAGAGGATCTTTTTTGACCTGCAGATTATGGAGTGGGTTATTTGTGAAATAAGGCTCATTTCAGCACATTTAGCAGACCCTTAACTGTTGTGAGTCCTAAGAGGCCTGGCAGAAAGCAGAAGACAGTTGGTGTTTTGGGGGCCTGGGTATAAACCTCTTTCTTGTGGGGCAGGGCATATTATCCTGCTGTGGGGAGACCACTGCTATCGGGATTGCCTTGCTGAAGGCATATGCTGGGTCTTTAGCATGGTTATGGTACGTTGGTGTGTATTACAAGGATAGCAGCACTGCATTATGACAAGATTATCAATTCTATTCGTTTCACCTGTCACTGCTTTAACTGATGGAGCTGGATCAACCAGGTAACACTTTAAACGGAATGCAGCGGTCATTACTGTTAATAATTAGAGCTGAGTCTTTTGGATTGTTAACATTTCTGCTGGGAAACATTTCACCTCCATTACAGTGTGTTCGTGGATAGTTCTCAGAGCTGTATCGCCTACCTTGAACAAATGAAAGTAGAATTATCTGGCCAATAATGGCCATTATTTGAAACAACCATTGTTTTTCTCGTATATGAACCCCCCAAGAAGTGCTACGTGTACAAGAAGGACGGTTGGCACTGAGTGCATACCACGTAGCGGGAGAATACACAACATATCAAAGATGGCTGAATGTATTTTTAAGTACTGTACACACCATCAGAGAATGAAGGTTTGGAACACATTTGGAGACAAATTTGATCTCCTTCTCTGCTGTACTGTTCATCCTCCAGATCCTTAACAGTTTTGCTTCTAGCTTGTAGACAATTTTTCCATGAGTCCCTCTGAAGAATGAAGGCATGCTTCTGTGTAGGGAAACAGCAGACTTTAAGTTATGCAATGTCAAGTGAAATAACATCATGTTTCCAACGCATGTACACATTCAGCAGTCAAGTTATGAAGTACACCTTACTTGTGATGGTTTGAACCCCTTTTGTTTTCAGAACTGCCTCAGTTCTTTGTGGCACAGATTCAACAACATGCTGGGATTATTCCTTGGAGATTTTGGTCCATTATGCTATAGTGAACTCATAATGTTCAAGAAACCAGGTTGAGACGATATGAGCTTTGTGACATGGTATCTCACAAAGCTGGAAACAGCAATGTGGTTATAAACGGATGGATATGGCCAGCCACAATACTCAAGTAGACTCTAATGATTGTCAGCTCAAGCTAAGGGTTCCAAAGTGTGCCAAGAAAATATCCCTCAAGCCATTACACCAGCAGCAGCAGCAGCATGAAATGTTGCTAAAGAAGGATGAATTCTCAGTTGATAGGTGTGGTTTCTGCTGCTGTAGCCCATCTACTTCAAAGTTCAACGTGCTGTACATTCAGATATTCTACTTATACACTTGTTGTAATGAGTGATTTTTGAGTTACTTTTCATATCAGCTCAAAGCAGCCTTTTCATTCTCTTCTGACTTGACATGAGCAATTTTCACTTAGACAACAGCTGCTAACTGGATATTTACGCTGTAAACCCTAGAGATGTTGTGTAAGAAAAACTCAGTAGATACTGAAAAAATACTCTGGGACAAACAAAGATGCCACATTTAAATTCACTTAACTCATCTTTCTTTGCCATTCTGACACTAAGTTCAAACTTCAACACATCGTCTTAACCATATCTACATGCCTAAATGCCCTGAGTTGCTGCTATTTTATTGGTCCACTTTTTGTGTTTGTTCGAATCACTGTTAAAGTGTAAATTCAAACCATTGTTTTGGTCAGCTGACTAACTGTACTTACCCTGGTGGTATTTGGAAACTGAATCTGTAGACATGAATCCCTTGGGGCAAAACCGTTTCTGAAAATGAAGGAAAATGAAGTATTGTAAAATTTTCAAATACAGGTACATAACGATTACTATTCAATACTTTTCTACTGCACTTTAGTATTACAAGTTTTGTCCTCTACATTCCTGTGACTCCTGTAATTTACTTAGACACTTTGCAGTCTGCTTTAACCATGAATAAAGAGACAAAAAAAAGGAGAAATTTGATGCTTTTTGTAGCTGCTGATTGTAAATAAAGATTTCTATATTGGGCTTCTAATACAGTCTATGACTCCAGTTTGACCAACTAACATGCTTAAACGCTCATGTTTCTGTATCGAAATTATATTTCAAAATGTTAAATATACACAAAATTATGTAAAATAAAAACAAGCAAAAAAAACAGATGAATGCTTAAGTGTTAAGTTGATAGTAGGTTTGTCCCCAAAGTACAAAAGAAAGGTATGCTTAAGAACAGGTGTCCTGTTTCTGTGTGTGTGTGTGTGTGTGTGTGTGTGTGTGTGTGTGTGTGTGT